TATGAAATCTACATTTCCACCCTTCTTCTCTCACATTTGTCATCTCCTGAGTGCTTTGAATTGGAACTTTGAGGTTCTCTGAGGATCGGTGTGAGTATTGGTATCAGCTCCTAGCAAGCACCTGCAGAGGGCAGCTGCTGTCTTGAGTTATTGGGTTTTATCTATTCCTAATCTGTCTGTTCCCAAGTTTAGCAATGCAGCTGTGCAACTCAAGTTCTGACCAATCTAGAATTTTTGGAGGAAACAACATTGGCAGTGCTCCTTGATCTCAGGATGTGCATCATCTCTTCTATATTACAGCTCTACCAACATGTTTTGGTATTGGCTTTGGCTGCAATAGAGTTAATTTTCTTCAGAGTAGCTGGTATGAGGCTGTGTCCTGGGGGAATGGTGTTGGTAATTCAGGGGTATTTTCCTTACTGTTGAGCAGCACTCACAGTCAAGGCCTTTTCTGCTTTTCACCCACCCCAGCAGTGAGTGAGCTAGGGGACACACAAGTTGGGAAGGGACACAGCCAGAAGAGCTGACCCCAACTGATATTCCATACCATACGGTGTCATGCTCAGCATATAATGTTGAAGGAAGAAGAGGAAGGGGAGGGCATTGACAGTAATGGTGTTTGTCTTCCCAAGTTATCATTATGTGTGATGGAGCCCTGCTTTCCTGGGGACGGCAGAAAACCTGCCTGCCCATGGAAAGTGGAGAATGAATTCCTTGTTTTGCTTTGTTTGTGAGTGTGGCTTTTGCTTTACATATTAAACTGTCTTTATCTCAACTCATGAGTTTTCTCACTTTCATCTTTCAAATTCTCTCCCCCATCCTACTGGGAGTGAGTGAGCTACTTCCTGGGGCTGAGCTCCCTACTGGGATTAAACCACAACAGTTTTCCATAATAAAGGGAATTGAAAAGCTACATTACTGTGTTTGAAATGAGGGAACACTGATGTAAATAAAAGTGGGCAGGAGATGGGAGCAGGTACATTGTTTTAGATTTGAAAAGGCATTTCTGCATCTCATTTCCACTGAAGTCAGCACAAGCACATTTCCTCTTCAGAGCAAAGGAGCAGGGTGCTAAATAGAAGTATATTCTAAGAAAGTCCCCACTAATCAGAGTACTAGAAATGATGCAATCAAATATGAGGGTGTAAGGGCTCGTTCAAGAACCAAACTGCAAAGCTAGAGTATAATAAGCAATTTATATTTCATTATAACCTATTTAATTTACCTATCTACTGACTCCATGCTTATATGCCGTCCAATTAATTTTCATATTGCTGATAGGTCACCTAATTTCACACTGGCCTCTCTTGCTAGCAGAGACTCCTTTTTGAAGTATAGCACTCTTATTCCTGTGCTTCAAGTCCCTCATGATAACCCTCTGTTGCCATTCTTTCCTAATGCAAACTCCTTGACAAAATAAAACTATTCACAGGAATTTCTGCAAACAGGCAAGCAAATATTAAAAAGCCGGAAATATTTGTTGGTGCATTTGTTTACAGGGCAGGATTCAAAATTTACTGAAATTTTTTACATTTTTTGTTGGCTACTTATTTCTGCTTCAGAAACATGAATGTAAGAATATACATATATTTAAATTCCAGACCACATAGTACCAGTTGAAGCAGGTATTACTGATTTACCAGCCCTTATGGGTCATCTCCAGAGTCTATTGATATGAGTGGAATGACACCATGTGTACACTGTCAACAGCACCTCTAAGAAATCTTTACCTCAAAAACATGTTTCCTACTATAGATTTAATCAATTCAACAGTTGGCAACATTTTCATAAGCCAGTCTGCTGTTTGTTTCCAGAGTATTACAGCTGCTTGGATAATAGCATATTAACAGCTGTCTACAAATGGCAGAATATAAAATTCTCATGGAACACATAAAGGACAACTATACATGCAATTAGTATATATGCTTGGAGAAGTCTGCTGCTAGAAAAATATTTGTACTGGGAAGGAAAAAAATCACCTATTAGGAGAAAAGCAAGCTGTACTGGCAAAAATGAAGACAATTAACTACTGCTTCCCAAAGAGCTTTTGCTGACTCAGTTAATGGCCATAGACAGTTCTCCTCATGCATGCTGAACAGAGCTCTACCTGCAAAAGAATGTCTGCACACCTGGTCTCACTGTGTAACTGGCATTGCATTGCTTCTCTACAAAAGGTGGCCTTTAAGATTTAGAGCCATAGCTGTATACCAAAATGTTGCTAGAGGTAGAAGATCATAGAATCATCAAATCATCAAAGTTGGAAGAGACCTCCAAGATCATCAAATCCAACCATTAACCTGTCACTCCACTGTAACCTCTGAATCCTAAACCGTATCTTCAAGCACGAGATCCAGACACCTCTTAAACACTTCTATGGATGGTGACTCCACCACCTTTCTGGGCAGCATGACCACCCAAACAGTGACAATTTTTTTCCTAATATCTAATCTGAATCATCACTGTCTCAGTTTAAGGCCATTCCCTCTAGTCCATGCCTCCATAGGTGTGGCAGAAGAGACCATCCCCCACCTCTCTACAACCTCCTTTCAGGTAGATGAAACAGCCTGTTAAAATGGATAGACTAAAAGTGAGGGGATATTTCATCCTTAGGTAAGAAAATTCACAGTCTGTAATTTAGGTGGCATCGAGCTCCGGTTTACAACAAGTAGACTTAAATGTCTGCATGGGAACTGTGTGCCAAAGATACGATGGAGCTCTGGGGCTGATTCATTTAGCAAGGCTAGCATCCTTGCAGATCCTCTGTGAGGCACATTCAATGCTCAGCTGTCATGTTAAGAAAATGGACTGTCTCAAAAATCTTTGGTCATTTTGGCCAGCCCATATTGCATGCCCTAAGAACACTTCAAATGGCATAAAGCACCTATTTGTAGGTAGGGGAAACCCACTCCTTGTTGAAGCATTCAGTGATATTTAGGGTACAACTCTGATTAAAGGCAGGTGTCTACTTCACTGACTAAGGCGAACAGCTCTCCAGGATTCATTGAGAAGAGGAATAAATGCATCCTACATCACCTACAAGCAGATTCTTAAGGTAGGTGAATTGTTCTGAAGCTCAAACCAACATGCAGAGTTTGATTCAGTTGTCCATATACAGGCATGAAAAAGCATTTGAGAAGATGTGATAAATATTACAATGGACCTACCTTCCTGAGTAGCAGCTGGAGGTCATGTAAATTATCCTAAGGCATCTGAAATGGCTCCATGTGCTTTTCTTCGTGCGAGCAAATGAACTAAGCCCTTTTAACAACATCTTAAGAATTTTACAAGAACTAATAATCTTTTAAAAGTAATATAACTTGTTATTAGTATTGCCATAGCTTGCGGAAACTTCAAGAAATTGTTAAATTTGCTCACAATTTAGAATATTGGCCCTTTGTTAGAAGAAGACAATTAAGTAAGATCAGTCTACTTCAGTCCGTCTTTTTAAGCAACTTTTCATCTTGCGGTGTTCTCCTCTAACAACGGACCTTTTTGCCTCAAAAAAGGTGAACGTTTTACATGTCTCACTTTCTACTTAAGATAGTGGTACTAAAGAATGCACATGGATGCTCTGTAGCTAAATGTCAGGTTTAGGTTTCTCCATTGCAAAAAAAAAAAAAAAGGAATTATTTAAATTTTATTGTCCTGGGTTTTTTCACTCAAATACACCTGTTAAAAAACCCAAACAGCATCTCTAGGAACAATCTGCCCTTTAAATTGTTAAATTTAGTATCAGTAAACTTCTTTTAGAAGTTAGTTATTCCTGTGGCAAGGATTTCCTCCTTGAAAATGTACGTACTATGTAAATACTCCTTGAAAGCAATCTCCAGTAATCATTTTGTACTGTTCAACTAATAGTAAAATAATTTCAAAATTTTAATGACAGATCTTTATGAGTTAAATATATGGTACACCATTATCAAGAAAGCTAAATGGAAATATGAATACTAATACTGATATTTGACTGAAAGTCAGAAACTTAAATCCACATGTGGTGTCTGCACAAATGGTCAGGGTTTTTGCATTTGCTGCTCCTAAAGTCTATGGGAGCTGCAGGCTGCATAATACATTTGGCCACTCAGGAAGACCTCAGGTCATAGACCAGAATCTCTTCATGGTAGGTACCACAAAAACACTGAGTGGAAAAACAGCTCTGAGCCTAAACAATACATTGGAACTATGTCTGCAAAGTCTGGAGAGGTTGAAGTAAGGGTAAGACTTTTGAGTGAAGCTATAAAGGATTGTCAAAGAAAGAATCAAAGGAAATAGTTCCAGACAAGAGAATGAAGAAGAAGTACACTTTTCACCTCTATATCTAGAACTGACTACAAAACAAGATCAAGTTGGTTTAGTTAACTAAAAGGTACAGAAGTTCAACTGAGGTCTGCCTGGAGATGGTGACAAATTAAGGACATCGTCTTGACATATTTGAAGTAATAGAGTTTTATATTAGTGATTATATAATAAAAAAATTTGCTCTGACGTTATAGTCATGTTCAGGCTGAGATTCCCACCAAAAGCTCCAAGAACACCCTTGCTTCTTCATAACCTAATATCTAAAATGGCAGCAACTTTTATCCTTAACAGACTGGCCACTTTATCTTCCTCCTAAAAGCTATGAAAAATGTCATCACTGAAGTTCTCTTATTTTTGCTAAGTTTATGAAAACTTGGGCTTTGTATTGATTTTGTCAAATATTTGTATTCTATTTGTTTTAAATAACATAGTCTACATTTATTATTTTAAACACACACTTTCACTGCCAAATGAATAAAAATGCTTTGTTTTTCTGGATTTCTATCTGCAAGGACTTGCATGAAAAAAATTGTATGTCTGGACTTCCAGTTACCTCCAAATACATAGAAGCAGATTATTTTTCGAAGTAATAATGAAACTCAAAAGGAGCAGAGAAATGCCATGAGAAAAAGCTGTATTTCAAATCTTTCTAATCTGATTTAAATAAGAAGCATAAGTGAAAAATATAAGTCATAGTTACTCACCTACGATGAGTAAGAAAACTACCACTGACATGTCCTGAGCCATCACATCCTGGCGTTGGACATGACATTCCTTCCGTCTTCACCGACTTCCAAGAGAACTGTGAGCCATTTAGGTACCCATCCTTTTGCCTTTTAGCAGCTAGAGGACACCCTGACGCACTGCGATGGGATGCGTATTTTCCAGTTATATGACCCTGACCATCACAACCAGGAACTGGACATCTGGATAGCAGACAGATGAGAAAAACTTCATTGTCTTGCCATCATATACCTGGCAGCTTCTACAACAAAGTCAAAATAAACCTGACATCCTGCACTGTGGTCTCAAAATTAGTCAAGATACCCGTAGTGGGTGAAATTACAAGGCGAACTTTACTAATATGAAAAAAAAAGTGTTTTTTGATAAGAAGAGGCTACCCAGTAGATGCAGTCACATCTGTTGATATTATGCAATTGTATCAAAAGGACTGAGATATATATTTGAATTGCAGGTGTTCATTACAGTAAGTATCACAGTGGAATTGAAATGTTGGCTACTGAGTTCTGCTCAGCAGGGAAATTGCCCATAAAACCTCTATAAGCATAAAATCCTACTTAGTATAATCCTTACTACATTTTATTTATATGTATGGAATCCAAAGAAGACTTGTCTGAAGTCATGAAAATGTCAGGTACAAATAGTTATGAAGTGATCAGAGCACCTCATCAGAAATGCTGAGCACCTTTAACCACTCTCTGAATAGGACAATGATAACAAGCTATATGCTGTAGCCTAGACAGATCAATGAAGGCAGTTCTGTATTCATCCGATGCTCTGCCTTACTTGGGAATCCCCCCATACATCTGCTCTGTATATTTCTACAAATCAAATAACCAGGGTTAGGAGGAACAGGGTAGAATCTTCGAAGTGAAATGTTTAAAGAAAATTTTGTTGGTTTTTTTTCTCAGTATGCTGTTACATAATACATGCCTAAACAAGGCCAGTTACTTCATACTTTGTTCTACCCTAAAATATTGCTGTGACTCCCCACCAAGGATCCAGTCTTGAATGGTGTAAGCAGTCATTACATCCAGCAAGATCAGTGGCCACTGCTATCAGAGCACCTTGCAAGAGCAACCAAGACCTACAGGTAGGCATTTATTCCTCTTGCAAGCTGCATGAACAGTCAGATTTGTTGCAGCAGTCTTGTATAAACAGTCAATTCTCTAGTCTCATAACTACTTTGTTTAGCATGTATGGTTTATCTGTAGTATGCAAACACGTTTAAGGGCTTTTAGGAGATAAAGATCTAAGTAATTTTTTTAATTTCACGTGAAAATGAAAAAATATAAACTGATTCTGAATTACAGAATATTGTATCCTTGGTTAAGACTGTATCCTTTGCTGAATATATCAGCACAGATCCTAGATATGCTCATAGAAATCAGTGTGGTCATCAGGTCATTTATGCCTCAATAAAAAACTGAAGATACATATGACTTCATAAAACACACAAAGTCACCTTGACAATACTTGTTCTCACCTAATTGGCTCTTGGTCTTCTTTGTCTTCCTTGCTTTGTGCTATCCTGATTCCACTTTTCTTTGCTCGCGGACAGCCTGAAAGACTGTGTGAAAGACAACATTTTAAAATGCAATTTCTCATTCTTGGGTACAGTTTACCAGGGATATGCTTTCTATCTGAAAAACTGTCAGAATAGGCAATCCTGTCCAGTTTCCAAAATCTAGCTGAAGTGGGTTAAATGAGGAGAGCTGCAGCAGCCACCACGAGGGGGAATCCGTGCATCTGGATCTGTGATGCAGGACAGGACTGCAGTCACTGTGCAGACCACAGGCATAGGCAGTCCCTGAGGAGCCAGGGAAAGCAGCTCTTAAACCCTCTGCCTAATAATTCCTCCAGCTGACTCAGCAGCAGCAGCTTTAAAGGGAATAGAAGCCACGTCCAGTATGTCTGAGAGCAATGGCAGAATAGGCTCAGAAAACAGAAGTATCTCTCATAGGACTAAAGATTTCTCTTGGGAGCACATTAGAAACACAATCACACCTTCTCAAACATCACGTAAGAATCCTATAGAGCCATTGAATAAAACATGGCAGAGCTCAGAGCTCAGTGTCTTCCAGAGAAGGAGTTCACGTGCTCAGAACTCACCCAGACAAGAAGATTCAGTAGAGACAAAGTTATATGCTAGTCTAAGCAATGTTACATTCAACTAGACACTGAGAATGCTGTTTTCAAATGCACAAGCTCAGGTTTTCCTTTGCATATGAAGAATTTAGTAGATTTGACAATGACTTTAATAGACGTTTTAGGATTTTTTTTAAGTAGTTGATATCTGAGGATACAAATATGTCTATAAAACATAATGCTTGGTCTTCTATTTAAATGTTATTTCCATCTCATCATGTCAACATTAAAAACAGAAATCCACCAGTAGAACACCTTCAAAAGTGCTGACATGAGAGACAAAGAAGTGTCACCAAAGAACAATTTCTGTTGAGAAAGAAACAAAATGGGAGATTAAATTTTTGATTTTAGCACAACAAAAGGTACTTCGATGTTGCAAAGTAGGCCCTGTCTTCAGGAATAAGAGACAGAAATAGTGGTAACAAAATTTTCAGTTATTTTGTTTTGTCAAAACCAGTGAGGACTGAGAGGAAGAAGCATAGGAAAGCATGATGCAATCACAGGCAGAATTCTGTGTTAGTAAATGGAAAATAGACAAAATCAGTTTACAAGCTGAAAAGACACAAACAAGTCAATTAAAGAAAGGGAGGAATGCTGGCATGAGATATTGCACATAATGTATTACCTAGAAACTTTTAGTGCAATGGCGTGGCTACCTCTATAGTGGTAAACAGAAGGGACCTAAAATTACTGCTTTGACCTAAGACCAGCACACCCACATTTGTACAGCTCAGCTGTATCTCTGTAAAGCAGGACAGCTGCACCCATACTGCTTGTAGAGAATGATCTGGACCCATGCTTAGCTCAAATCATCTCTCGCCTAGGAGTTTCTGTGGCCCAGGGTCAGTATCATGCCAAGGAACATGTTAGCAATTTAATCATGTAGGCATCTGCTCTGATGTGTGACCTGTGCTCTCATGCCATTTAATTTTCTATTTTAAACATAGCCAACCATTTTCCTTTCTAAAGCAAACTGCTATTTATTCCAATTTGCATAGTGCACACCGAAGTACCATAGTTCCTTGTGCACAAACTAAAACAAAAGCCTGTGCCACTTAAGAATAATTTTCTTCAAAAAAGAATAATATAATCTGTAAAAAGACAGAGGCAGGAGGAATAGTGTCTGAGGGATTTAGAATAAGAGGAAACAGACTCTGGGACAAAGGAGTAGTTCAGGAACAGGTTGGTTCACTGCCCCCCATACAACCTGGACTGCAGAAAATGAAGAGGAGAGGACAGGAGCTAAAGATACCCCTAGCTTATCTCTGAGACTAGTTGTACCCACCGTGTGAGAATAATCAGTTCATGCATCTGAAAACTAAACAGTTAATAGAAATGCCTCAGAAAGCAATACTTTTTTTAGTAGGTGTACAGATGGGTATGCCTGTAGATGATGACATTTTCATAACAAAATCTGAACAAAGAACTTCTGCCCTGACTAATGATTTAAAGCTTTCTATGGATTAGATCAATTTAATTATCACCTACTTATTGGTATTTTGGTGCATCATCTCTCTGTAATACATCTTTCTATGCTGGCACTATGATTTATTAGAAAATTCTAAGACCTTTCAGGTCCTCTAAACAGACATTTCCAACAGACAGTTTCTGATGTTATGATTAATTCATTTTTCCTCTGACAGTGGATTCACTGAGAAAACATATGTTAAGGACGAGCCTTTGCTTTAATTTTTTTATCCTATAATAACTAAAAGGTATTCCAAAATAAACATATTACTTCATTTTTAGATCAGCTTAATTCCTTATATATGAAGATAAAAGACAACAAGGGAAATGTAATACCAGTACATGCTGATATAACTTCCACTCTTGAATGGGTGAGTGGAACTGCAGAGTTATGGCAGAGTTAAATCTGGCTCCATCTGTGCTTGCTGTTGAACAGCCATTTTAAATAGAGAGGATACCTAGGCATCACAGCAGCCATTTAGGAGACAGGTCTGTAATTCCTTTCCTTCTGAAACTGAAAGGGTTGTAACTGATTTTGCTTGTAACAAACAGAAACAAAAATGATAACTCAGATGACAGCAGAGCTAAATGCTAATTTTCAGTGTGGGAATTAGAAAGCTCAACTGAGAACGTGCTGTGGAGTCTTTCATACTCCACAGCTCCAGATTTAGGCTGCTGGTTTGCTGCCCTTTAAAACAGTGCTCATTTTGCTAGCCTCATCATCTCAGAAATGGCCTTGACAGACACTGCGACATGAACAGTGTAAGGCTGTCTCCATGTAAATGTGACAGGTCTCCTGGGGACATTGGTGGTTTTAAGCAAAGAAGATGTTACACCTTCATTGTGAGTGCTCCTGTGCCCACAGGGAGCCAAAGACCTGGGGCTGCCAGAGGCCTTTTTGGAAGAGAAATGAAGGAGTTATGTGGTCAATATAGACATAGTGGCATTTCAAAAAAAAATAATGAATGTGTTAAATCCCAATAGACAGCATAAACTCCAGATGCCTTGGTTTTGCAGAATTGCTTTTTATATCTTTATGTGTACTTGAGTATGCTGCAGAATCAAATGAAAACTTGGTCCAGCACTCATCTGCAAAAATACAAGAACGTAAGAATTTACAAACAACAGGCAACACCATCTAGCTCATGGTCCAGTCCTACAGTGGCCAGGAGACAATGCCCAGGAAAAGGGTTTAAAAAATGAGTCAGCATTCATTGATACTCCTCTGCCAACCTTACCAATGTTTAGGTTTCTTATCTGTAACACTTTTCTTCTACATCTTCACTCTCCTGCCTGTTTCTGGTTAAATACATGATCAAACACATAAATAACTTCCTGAAACAGCAAAGTTGGGGCAGAGCTACACCAAGCATAATGCTGTTAGAGTGCGAGCTGATAAATCTGCATATAGTTAAATGTAGTTCTAAATTTGACCTTAAATCCCTTAGAGAGTGGGATTTAATCTCCTACACCATATATAAAAGCCTTTAAAATGCTTATATCTTCTCCTTTATAATGCCATTTGTACTTTTGATGTTTAACACTGCATTACAGAAATTGATATTGTGACCTTTCATTTTTACAGCTTATAAAGTTATGACATGTTCCCAAGCTCTATGTTACTTATTTTTTGACTTTGAACTGTTTGTTGCTTTTTCTGGGAATACATTTAAACTGGGAATTTGTGTATTGACTTAGTTATAACCAATTGTGAAACTACAGGGACTTGGTGAAGCAAGCAAATATCCAGACTCAACAGTCCTAGTCTGTATGGGAGTAAAGAGCCTTTACTAACAAAAGAGAGGTTGACTACACTATTATTCTTTGATTAAACAGTGGATGGATACTTACAAGATATGGCACAGCTCTTCTCTACTAATTCACAGTTCTCAAATATCCACTGGGGGATTGCTAATTACACAGCATTTGTACCATTACCTCTACAGTGGTATCACTGTAATCAATACTCTAATTAGTAAATGAGAAGCTTTCTTTGGCCCTTGGTAAGGATCACAGTTATAGTTTAGGCAGTTAAGGTCACAGCTTTCATCCATAAATTTCTCTTTCCTTTCTTCTGGTCTGCCGTAATACAATGTGTTGCAATTTAAGAACAAGACAAACTTTATTCTGACATGTAATAACAAGACTGATGCATATTAGATGAAAGAGGTAGTTTTTCCCACTGAGTAAAACTGGTAAGGCTTCAGCTGGGAGAGGAGGTAAAGAACTGGGTCCAATTTTGTATTTCAAGATACACGAAGGGAGTTTGGAAGAGACTGACAGGAACAATCAGGGAATATAATTTGTAGCAAAAAGATGCAGGAGTAGGATTTGAATCCAGACTGTGAAGAGAAGAGTTAACTCATTCAGAATGTAAAGCAATAGAAACTTATGAATGCTGGAGTGCTTCCCTGGGCTAGCAGAAAAGATAGAAAAACTGCATTTATTTTGTACGAAGATTTTGCCATATATTAGCAATAATCTTCCCACCTATTTGGGTAGTGAGCCATGCTGAAGCTGAGAAATCCTATTTGTTAGTGATAAATAGAATGAGTTAGACCAACCCATATCTATGTACAGCACTCAATCCTACTTCAGTATTGAGAGAGGGAAGTGAGGTCTGTTAAGGCCCCTTCTAGTCCTTCAGTTATTTGATTTTAATACCAAAACCTTCTCTTTACATACCTTCGATGTGAAGCATAATTTCCAGTAATATGCCCAGAGCCATCACACCCAGGGGTGGGACACCTAGAATAATAACGGAAGAGATACAGAGCAGTTACCAACAGAAAGATACAACTGCCCATTAAAAAACATTAATTGGCTCAATCCTTGTTTCCTCAGTTGCCAGCCCTGGGGACATCTAACCACTGCTAAACATGAGCTTAATTCCAAACCAGGGACAAACATACTTTTTTCATTCACAAAATATTTTTCTTTGCTACTCTTCAACTGTCCACTCAAACACCTTCTGGCTACCTCTAGCACTGTCAGATTAGTGGAGATTTCCAGCAGCAGACTGACATCCCCACACCACCAGCAATTAGTAGGGTTGACAGCAAATAGAATATCCCCATGGTGTATGCTTAGGTAATAGCTAACATTTCAGTGCATCATTTTGTTTTCCACTGGAGCTACTGCTCTAATCCCAGTGCACCATATCATGTCTCTCATCATGGAGAGACCCCTTCACCTCTCAATGAAGCAAAGGAAATGCTTAAGGAAAAGGAAATGTGTACACGGGGAAGTAATGCTGGCCTCTTGTGGAGAAATGGTAACCCACCCAAACACCAAGCTACAGCACAAGACAGAGAAGTCACTGATGGTACAGAATTTCTAATAGTGGAACCATATTAGAGTCATCAAAGAAAATCTATGGGTTTTTCTGCATTTCAAGGACGATTGTGATAATCACAGAAAAAGCTAAATTATAATGCTAAGTAAAATCATTGGCTGGTATTTGAACTGTTACACTAAATCACAGAAAAATACAAAGAAAAAATTAATTTATATTCATTTTACTGAATAGACAAAAGCTATATGAATTAAAAAAATTAGTTTTCCTGAGCCTGAGTTTTGAAGTTTAGCCATGCTTTTTAAAGCTTCATTTGAAGAAAGCATTCAAATTCAAATATCTTGTGCACAAATTCAGAGGTTGCATTCTGAAACATCAGATTTCCATAACATTGAATTTTTCCACTATTTGAATCCAGAGTTCATGCAGACTTTGGATTTCACCCTTTAGTTATATATCTGCTTTCCTGAGAGTTAGTCCATACTGGAAAATTTTTATTTCACAAAGGTTTCTGCAGAAACTTGAACATTTCTTAAAATCAGGAATTAAGCAACCCTGAATTCAGTGCAGTGGGGTTGTCATGTTCCATTAAGTGGAATTTTACTCTATAAAGGTAGTAAGCATTATCCACTTCTGAGTAGCACAGCAGGTCCAAACTTCAAATATGATTAATGGTACTTTGAAGACATAGACTAAACTGGAATTTCTTAAATGGAGTTCTCATAGAATATTCATTGGCACCAGTTCAGTTATTCTATAGAAAAAATTGTCCCAGGATGTGAGCTGGCAAACTTCAGGGGTCTACTACATCACTGAAGTTTCTCTTCTATATAATAAAGAGCCTGTGTGCTTTGGACAAGAAGTCTAAACAACACCCTTAAAGACAATTTTCCTTTTGTCTTGCTTTAGGTCTTTGCACAGGACCAAGTATACAATCATGATCTCGAATAGAAGGTGTACTACTGTGGCTCTTAATATCTTAAAGACTGATAAACAGGTTGACATCACACATCAATCTTTCTGCTTACAGAAAGATAAACCCCCTAAATTCTGTATAGATATTTCTGATACAAATCAGGTAAAAATATGACCCTTTATGAAGGAGTCATAGCTCAGTCTGTATAGCCCTTACCCTTTATTCTTTGCTGTGGTTGCATAAGCTTTGGCTATTTCTTTCATTTAAAAAAATGAGTTGTCAGGGCATCTTACACGAAGAGTATTATGGTTTAAATACTCAATATCTAAATATTTAGATATTTTCATGTTTTATTTTTAGGAAAATGTTTTGAGATCTACAGAGAGACAATCTCTTGCGTCATATGCTTTTGTAATGCTAGGTAGCTTTAATTGATGATTAAATTATGATTAATTTAAATGATCTGATTCCTTACTTCCATCATGACTAGCTGCGTCACTACAGCCTGACTGAATCCTCAAAGATATTGAATCAAAAGATATGGGAACAAGAATTTATAAAGGAATTAAAAGGAATTGACTAAACTTTGGCTCTAAATGTCCATGGCATTTAAATGAATAAAGGAGAACTAGGAGCCATGAGACTGTTCCTCTGTAGTCTGTCTGGGGGTAGGAAATACAAGGATTCCTTCTTTGTGAACCCCTGATTTGAAGCCACTATTTTCCTCTCTATACTTTTGAATCCTTTTGAGAATAAGCTATTACCAAAACTGAACAATGTTTTCCTCTTATTTTCCAGTATTTTTGTTACAGGCAGCATGACTAACAGTGTCATAACAAACAGGATTTATAAGATGCACCTGCATATCCCATCAATCAGTCTTTAAATTAGACCACTGCACCTCAACTGTTTGGGCAGTCTTTCACAATTTAAAAACAAGTTCATTTCTGTGTCATTTAAAAAAAATCTTCATCAACTGAAACTAAAGAAGAAATCATCCTGCTGTAAGCTGAACTGAGTATCTTCACAAGGGGCTCTGTACCATTCAGATCAGTTTAAAATCATACTTTTGATTAAACCAGAAGAGATCTTAATGCAGGCAAGGAATTCAAGAAGACATTTCAGATCTTGATTTTGGCACTATAATATTTGTTTCAAGTCTCTTAAGCTTATGTTGACCTAAATGTAACAGATTAAATGAGTTTAGTGCAGTTGGTAAGAACATTTTAAAACCCTGGAACATTTCTATTTCTTGTTGTTTCCGTCCTATGTGAAGTGCTTCTAACACTATGATATATAGGATGCAGATATGCAGCAGTCTGTTTCACCTATGAAGTTAGCATAGTATTTATTTGCTATCCTAAGCAGATTAGATAAGGAGACAACCACAAGTCTTTGTACCACAGGAATTGGGATTCTGTATTTTCAGAATGTTGGATCATACACAGGAGTTGCATATGGCCTACTACTTTACTATCAGTGAATACCTATACATACTTGACTTCATTAATCATATATACATGCAACAATGCCAGAAAGATGTATGCATGGGTGCTTGTAAGAGGCAGGTGATGTGAAACCCTTTCAAAATAAGTATTGGAGTAAGTGGTAAAAGAGATACAGAGTTTCTTCACTTAAAGGGAATGTCATTTGGCAGGATCAGAATCTTATTTGTAGATTCTACATAACAACTGCTTGCAGCAAAGGAAATACTTTAGTAAAGTAACAAGGGAGGTGACAAAAGGAACTGATGAGTGAAGTTCAGGACATGTAACACTTTCAGTTGACCATAAATTCAGGGCATACAGTAATAAAAAGAGCCTGTCAGTGAAGGAGGGTGCAGTAAGCACTGCCTTGATGTCCCATTCATTTCATAGACAATTGCAGAGAAGTTGTTTTGGGAACATAAGCAGAAGCAGAAAGCAGGGCAGGCAGCAGAACAGCAACACTTGTGGCAGCTGAATTCAGTTTTTTTTTAGGAATGAAACAAAAAGGCAGGGAATCAAGCTCAGAAAAATACACTTAAGCCCTGCTACTGATTCTTCACTGCAGAAAGGACTGAAGGTGTGCAGCAATTAAAACAGACTTCTGGCAGCTTGAAGAACTTAAGGAGGTTCCTGGGACTGGGGAGGAAATTAATGCAATGCCCAAATGGTATCTGGGAGGGTTTTTCCAAACATCAGTCGTTGCAAGTATTGTTGAAACCTCAGCTCACAAAAAAACCCCCAGATCTCATGAGCATAGCACACTACAAAAAAAATGGCTCATATTTAAACCTATATTCCTAGGCTTCGATCTAGGTCTACAGGAGCAAGATAAGCCTACATGTAGCTTATGTATTTAGATTTATAACTCAACTAGCATGAGAGACAATAGGATGCTACACAAAGGTGCAAAGACAGAGCTGCAGTAGTTTTGTCCTCATTATTGTGTATGGCTTTGGTTGACTTACTTGTACAAATTATTTTAAGACATAAATTAATTCTAAAACATACTGATAAAACAGAGATACAGAAAACTGCAATATAATGAAAACTCTGCACTTTTTTTTTCCCTTTTAAGCATTTTCCCACAATGGCTTTTTGGAACTGAATGGACTTGACTTCCCTAGGGAGGAGGCAGCACTCATGGAAGCTTTTGCAATGCACACAGCCTAACCACAGGTCAGGGCCTGTGCTGAGGCTTGGGCTCAGGCTCGGGCTCAGGCTCCCTCTTTCTCTCACAGAAACCCTCAATTGAGGTTTAGCAATACCGTGAATTCTATTTCCATCTCAGTCAAAACTTGCCTTTAAGGTTTGACCACTTCATATGTGTAAATCTGATTGGAAACCTTGGATCTAGAATTACACATGTAAACCCAAATTCAGCACACCACACAAAGAAAAGTCAGGTCACTGTAACACATAGTTACATTTTTTGCTAAGTAGGGTGATAAACTTCAGCTTCACCATCAGAGGCAGTGCTAGCAACTGTAACCAACATAACCTCTTCCCTCTGTCTCTCGTCCCTTCCATGTCCATGTCCCATTCTGTGCCATGCACCAAGGCCTCTCCCTCTGTGCACTTCCAGCCTCACTGTTCTTACCCATACAGCCTGGTTTTCGCTAAGCAAAGTGCACATTATTAAGTCAGGCTACAGTTTTCACTGGAATTGGCAGGCTTGTACATTATCTGTGTACTTTTATTTCAGCTATTGCTCTTGTGGGATTAATAATAGCACTCAGTGGACACTCTTGAAATAAAGAAATAATAGCAGTCAATAACAAAAGTGAAGAGCATTGCCAATTCTGATTATGGAAAGCTGCTTCAACATTTTATTTTTGTGCTGAGGAAATCTGCTCTTATGGAGAAGAACTGAAGCATTAATTTCTCTTGCACTGGCCAATTGAAACAAATCCCTACAAAATACCTTTCACAACCTGTCATTAGTAAGCTGGTGTATCAGCACTAAAGACTGATGTTACATTTATTGTTTAGTTTACAATACTTAGTACTTACTCTGTTGTATCTTCCCTTGTGAAGTAAATGAACACACATA